GGATATAAAACAAGGAGAATTAGCCTGTTGTAATTCAGCACACTGTTTTTGGCATGCTTATCATTGTGGTCACCAGTTGGAGTTACTGATTGCAGGAATTTGCATTTAAAGTCATAGGATACTACTTAGTCCACTAACTCAGTCCAGTTTGAACAGGGAGACATGATACTCCTATTTTTAAATTTAGCGTGACTTACACCTCCCGTGCACATCATTATCTCTGACATCATCACTAATCATACATAAAAATATCATAGAATAAAGGCACTTCTCAGAACTTTCACTGTAATGCTTTCATGTTGTCTTCACTACCAGTTTATCCCAGTGATGGTCATTTGTACAGAACATTGGTGGGTACACTGCAAACAGGAACTGGTAATTGCTATTTCAGTGTACTTTTAATGCCATCAGTTTGTCAAAATGCAGTGTAGCCTATAGTGTCAGACTTCAAAAACTCCCGCTTTAGCCTGTGATGTGACAGAATTTTAACTACTGAGCAAGTGGTTTCAAATAAAGGAAAGAATGAAGTAGATTTGTGCCTGGAGAGTCAAAGGTGGAAAGCTTGTTTAAAAATCACACTCTACAGAAACGGGTGCTCCTCGGAGTCAAGGGTCGAGGTAACTGCATACAAGAGAGGAAGAAAACATCCAAGACACGGAATCTTGAGGTATAACAATAAAAGATCCGTTAATATTACATGGCTGACACCAGTGAGTTGCAGCTACAACCCTTCTTGTAATATTAAAGGTTTTTTTTTTATCTTTATACCTCAAGATTCAGTGTCTGATTTTTTTCTTATTATTAGTGCTTAGTTAGCTGATGTAAAGAGGAGCTGATTACAAATAAATCGGATGGCAAGTACAGTACGTACAGAATGTGCTTTGAGCTTTGTGTTCGTATGTGTTACTGTTAAGTGTTTATATGTGTGACAAGTAAATACACTTTTGTGTTGAGTGTGTGCGGATTAATGCATGTGTAATTATGTCTGTACAGAGTGGATAGAGGAGCACTCCTCAGCAGCGGCTCCCCTGGCAAACTATGCTCCAAACCATCTGGAGACCTACAGGGAACCGCAGGTCCCACCAACCCTACCTCCAGGCCCTACAGGAGTTAAACGTAAATCTTTATAGACCCTGTGTATGATTTTTCTATCATGTTGACAATAGCCCTGAGATATATTGTGGCATGAGTAGGACTTGTTTATATTTATATCTACACTGGAAATTCTTCATTTTGAGGGAAGAGATTTTTTCGCATTTTTACATTACATTACATTAGTATATGTGGAAGTGGCAATAGAATGTGTACAGATCAAATGTTGTTACTGTAGATATGTGTCAAACTGACCAAGCTATCCATGCTTCAGTAAGCGCCTCTAATACAACTACACCTAGAAAACATCATACAGGAATGTTGAATGTAGGATAAGTGAATGGACACAATGATAAAAGTTTCTCTGTGTGCAGGAGGGAAGCCTTTCTTCACAAGAAACCCAGCAGAGTTGAAAGGAACCTTCATCAACACCAAGCTGAAGAAAAGTCGTCGTGGCTTCGGCTTTACTGTGGTTGGAGGTGACGAGCCAGATGAGTTTCTACAGATCAAAAGTCTGGTGCTGGATGGGCCTGCAGCTGTAGATGGGAAGATGGAGACAGGTGCAATACATAATTACCATCCACAGGGGGCACTGTTTTCATTCCACAATGCACAGTGTGGTGTCCTTATAATGCATCCATCCATTTTCTGTACTATTTATGCTGTTCAGAGTGAGGCTGAAGCATTTCCCAGCATGGGCAGGGTGAGAGGCAGGTTACACCCTTGTCAGGTTGTACTTGAATGAAATTTCACTGTTACCTATGCCACACAAATGCAGATTGATGCCACATAACACTGTAGTGTAACATCAGTTTGTCTTTAAACAACTTTAAATAGAGCTCTGTTGATCATATAAATAACTGCATTACTAACAGTATAATTTTCCTTGATGCAGGTGATGTGATAGTCAGTGTGAATGACACCATTGTGCTGGGATACACCCACGCTCAGGTGGTGAAGATCTTCCAATCCATCCCCATTGGCTCCATGGTGGACCTAGCTTTATGTCGTGGATACCCGCTTCCCTTTGACCCAGATGACCCCAACACCAGCCTGGTGACCTCAGTGGCGATTCTGGACAAGGAGCCTATCATTGTCAATGGACAGGAGACGTTTGACTCGCCTTCCAACCAGGCCGGACCAGTTAACGGCATGAGGGAGCCACGGCCACACAGCCCCTCATCTGAGGTGGCGTCTAACTGCTCGCATGGCTACTCCAGTGATGTGGTCACCCTGGCCTCGTCTATAGCCACCCAACCTGAGCTGATCACCATCCACATGGAAAAGGGAGACAAAGGATTTGGCTTCACCATCGCTGACAGTCTTACAGGAGGAGGACAGAGGGTCAAGCAGATAGTGGACTATCCACGCTGCCGTGGCCTAAAGGAGGGGGACATTCTGATGGAGGTCAACAAAAGAAATGTTCAGAATATGAGTCACAACCAGGTGGTAGACCTACTGAGCAAATGTCCCAGAGGCAGTGAGGTCACTATGCTGGTGCAAAGAGGTATGTATTAGATCCGGATGTCAGATATTTGTTAGCACAGGTGGATGAATAGATGCAAGAACCTAAAGTTATGATTTGAAAAGATGTGTGATAAGTGCACAAAAGAACATGAAGCTGAACAGACAACAGCTTGAATAGTTGGCACCGAATGAGTGACATAATGAGAAAGCAGGAGAGAAAAGTGAGGAAGAGAGTGGGTGGCAGGGTGAAAAATGCTCAGACTGAATGGGATGAATAGAGGATAGGTAAAGAGACGATGGGCTGAGTTAGCATGGCAGACGATTAACAGATGAGTGTGGGAAGGAGTGGGAGGCCGGGTAAAGAGGCGAGATGGATGAATGAGTGGGGACAAGAGTGGGAGCACATTGGGTCAGGGACTCGTATACCTTATGAATGCAGATGCTGCTGAACTGGACCTCAGAATTGTTTGCTGTTGCCTAAAATGATAATTTCGGCAGTGTGAATGGTGCAAGTATTCTCCTGCTTTCTTTGGGTTTGTTCTTAAGTTGCTGTACCTGGGATAAGTAGGTTAGAGGAGATTAGATCCTGTGTTCATGGAAATAGAAAATTACTGAATGTTTCATCAATTTTGATTAGCATATTAAGTATTCAGCTGGCTTATTCTCCGTTGTTTTAATGTTTGCTATTGTAGTCACACATTATTAATGCAGATCTTTGACTGTGGAGGCTCCTATGCCTGGATTCTCAATCTGGTCACTATCATATTATGCCATTCCTGTTCCTACCTCTGGCCTGGAATGACCCTGGGAAATCGGCTTTTCTCATTGAAATGTCAAAACAAAACAAATTGTTTGCCCAATTGTAAAGTATTCACACCGACACTGAATGACATTTGGGGTCCCTCATTTGTGCCCGGTCCTTATTGTTGTTAAATTGCTGGCCATGCTGGATCCACCCAGATCTCTGTCAACAGCAGGTTGAGGTAGGCACCCCACATCAATTATATACCCTCTAATGAGTTGACCTTGTGCACTTCTGCTGGAATAACACTGCGAAATTATGTTAAATGTCAGCATCATTATGTGCCCGAGTGTGTGTCTGTGAGTCTATGTGTGAGGGACAGTGATAGAGAAGGAAGTATTCCTACTAGCAGTGCGTATAGGCAGAGGAACGAAATGAGCAAGAGCAAGGCAGAACGAGAGTAAAGGAGAGGATAAGTGAAAACGAGGCTACAGGTGGTCACTGGGGCAGGCAGCAGCACAGATCAGCTCTGTTAGCTTTCAAAAGCAGATTATTGTAGGTCCAGTTGAGTGACCAGGTGATGGAGAACAAACTACACACACACAGGCAGCCAGGTGGCTCGTATTCAGGTGAATGAAACTAAGTGCCAGTATGATTGAGTGTAAGTCCTGATGTCATACAGTACTATACCTTTTTAAACTACCTTTGAAGAAGTAATTTTGCTCAAAATATACTGTGATCAAAAAGTTTACTTTAATCAGAAAATATCTGATCAAAGAATAAACTAAATAAAAAAGCGGTGAATTTGAACAAACATTCAGCTCCGGCTTTAAGTGAAGCTGACGCACAGTATTGAGGTTTGATATCCAGCCGTCAGTTATGTGGCTGGTATAAGAAACGCAGATGTAAAATGACTAAGAGTCAGAATTAAGGCTTAAATGTTAGTTCAATTAGTTTGTCAAACTGCTTTACATTGTGCAGGTCTGGGCTGTCACAGACAAGGAAAACATGGTAAAATCACTGGTCATTAATCTAAAATGGTTGTCCTAGATCACAGCGTGAGACACATCCACCGATAGCCGGTTTGGAGCTTTAACAACCAAAGACAACCCGTGGCCGAATTCTGACAATGTGAGAAATTTAGAAGCACATTCTTATAATCTGACTGCGGCCATGATTCACATCTGCAAACAAATAATTCTCAGTATACTATGAATATGCTGAAGGCAACATACACTTATCACCTTAACATTTCATAATTGATACTTTTTGAATTAACAGGAAATGAATCAACAGTAATTTTGAAGCAATTTATCAGGAACAAATTTGATGATTTGATTTGTGTTATTAAAAATGTAATAATCTTTGGATTATGGACTGTTTGTGGGATAAAGCATTTAGTATTTAAAAGCATGACCCTCTTGACTGAGCTCTTTTTTGTTTTTGTTTTAAGTATTTTACCTCAGATTTTGTCAGCTCACGTACAGGAAGGGGGGAGGATGGGGTGGGAGGTGGGTTTGGACATGTTCATGTATTATGTTTAATATGTTAAAAATTTATAAACGATGAATAACAAAAACATAATAGTTCAAAACATTACCTTGGGTTCTGGGAACTTGTCATTTTTCCAACATTTTATTGACTAAACAGTTTAATCCAAAATATGCATGACTGATGGATTAGTTAAAAAATAATCATTAGTTGCAGCTGTGTTCAATAACAGCGGCTGAGCCTGAGATTTGCGCGTGGCTTTCTGTCTGAGAATGATGGGGTGACCTTTCAAATGATCACTAGCAGCGAGCGCATAATCATTCACAAACAAAAATTATGGGAGCTAAGAGGAGCGAGATAAGAGGAAAAATAGGAGGACCGGGGATCTTGCTTTGAGAAAGTGGAGGTGGAGGATTAGAGAAGAGAGTGTGAGATTTGTTAAAGAGCACTGCAAGTTCAGCAAGGAAAGTGTATATGAGGGGATTGGTTTGGAGAAGTACAGGCGGAGGAGAGAAGGAAGAGGAGGAGGAGGAACAAGGTGGACTTCAACTAGAGGAAAAGAAGCCTTAATCTGTTTATCTGTGACTCATCAAGCCTGACTCAGCAGTGCAGTTTTAAGAGAGGGCACAAGGTCAAATACACACATCTCATAATTTTTAAGTGTCACTGTTACAATATATTTTGTGTTAAAATTAGATTTGACAAAATGTTAAAAAAACAGAAACTAACATAGTTTGAGATTTTTCTAAGATTCAAACTGAGTTGTCTGTCTGTCTGTCATCTTAGCAGATGTGCAACAAAGTGTGAAAAAAAAAACAGCTTCTGTAAAGTTCAACGGTTTATCTTTTTTGCCCGGGAGGCAGCATCGCTTTCGACTGAACAGTGTCAGAGTAGTTTGCTTGTGGCTAATCTCAGTTAGATGCACAGTGAGCTGAAAAGCTTCACAAATAAAAAAAAAAAAAAAAAAATTTAAATAATCAAATGGGCTTTGCAACAGAGCAGTTGCAGAAGGGTCTAGTGCGTTCTGCCATTACCTTAATTCTCCCTGCAGTGGCAGCTCAGTGCAGCTGAAATGAACAGAGCCACATTTTGGCTTTTGGATTGAACCAGCAAATGGTCTCTCTAGTTTTACGTCTGTGGCTGTAGGATACTAGACAAGTGTGAGAACAGGTTGTTGTGGTAATGAGAGAAGAACACCCATAAATACCTCTCTGTTGTAACATTCCTTAACTCTCTAATCTGTGAAATGTACAGTGAAACCAAATGCCATCCAGTTTTATCATTTAGTAAATTTGCTCTTGTTGCATGTGCGAATATCTACCTGTTAAAAGTATTTATTATAACCTTACACTCTCTGATCGCTGAAGTATTTTTCCCCAATAGATGTTTACAGATAACATCTGGCGTTCTCACACACAGGATGCTCCTTTGTAAAGGAGGCCAGACCAGCTTTGACTCCTCCATCTTGTGTTTCCGCTGTTGTTGCCATGACAATCTTGCACAGCGCTCCTGTCCCCTGAGAGACAGAGAGAAAGAAGAGAGAGGGAATGAAAAGACACAGGGAAGAGAAATAAAATGTAAAGGAACTGAATATAGGGACTGAATTATGAAATATAATTTAGTGTACATGAAGAGAATTGATAATAGGACAGTCACAGAAGTAGAGCAAGGACGAATGTGTACATGTTTCAACAAAAATGAACAGAGCTCATGTTGTATGCCCTCTCTCCGTGTCTCTAGAAAACCAGGAGGAAGGACCATTGATTCCCTTATGTGAGCTTTACATATATCAACCAAGGCCATAGTCTCAACTACATACTGAAGCACTGGGCCATCCACCGTGTTGCACTTTCACTTTGAAAAGCTTGGGGTTTTCAGTGCTGGTGCTTCAGGATGAAAGAATGACCTCCCATACACACACATACATACATAATTTGTATGGACATAACAATGCTGAAATACATTGTATTTTATTCAACTCCTTGTTGCTGCTCACCAGGGAAAGCTTGTTTGTGTGATTTCTGAAATTCAATCTCTGACTGTTTCTTATAGCACTGAGAGATGGGAGAAATGCCGAAGACACATTTTTGAGGTTAATCAAAATAGAAGTCTGAGCCACTCCTTTGTTACCAGTACTACACACAAATTATTGATGCTTATGAGCTGGAACACTGATTGGGATGTGCAATTGATAATATGAGCATATTGTCATAGGGGTTGCATGCATGTATCTACACTCTTTGCCTTTAGGGTTGTTCAGCAATTTCCCCATTAGCATGCTTATTTGTAACTGTGCTAGTTATTAAGGACATACTTCACTGTCTACTGTAAAAGAATTAGAGGAAGCAGCCTCCTCCACACTCAGCCTTAGAGCCACTTTAGGTCACCAAACAAGTGATGGCACTTACTTTCACTTCCAATTAGTTTGCTTCCCCTGTCATTTTAATGATAATGGACACAGTCTTAGTCATTCTGGTGGAAAGCTGCCTCAGTAATAATAAATTCAGGCCTTTTAAACCTGCATTGTGTCCTTAGTTATCATGCCAGAGTCTTTTAAAAATGGAGCAGCATTCTGTTGTGGTGTATTGAGCAGAGCTTTGCCTTTATTCAGCCGCTTCAACACACTTAAAAAAATATCAGCATTGAGGCATCACTGCCTTTGTGTTTGTGCTCACAAACTCATCCTCTGTGAAGAGATAAAAGCTCGCCTTCTTGTATACCTGTCTGTGGTGATACTGCATATGTATAGAATGCATGTAGAGAGATTTCTGCAGGAACATGATTCCCATATTTCTCTCACTCATTACTGTTACATGCATCCAGACTCAGAGTTACACATATGTGTGGCATCACAGTGACAGAGTAAGTTAAGCAGATAAAAAAAAATCACATTCTGCACCGCGTACCCTGTAAACCCTGGACAGGTCATCAGTCTATCACAGGGCTGATACATATAGGGATTTTCTACACTAATCTACCTAAATGGAACCTAAATGAGACCATGTAACATTTGTTCTGCTTTTGTTTCCGCTGCACTCCGCCCACTTTGGAGGTGAGTTGTGGGAGAAAAATTTTAGCACTGCTCAGAAGGTAGAACTAAAATTGAGTTCCAGGAACAGTGCTAACCACTACGCCACTGTGCATCATGTACATGAACTGTTCTAGCTGACTCGCTATGGTGGATTATCTGGGGTCAAATTCCATCACTTCCATCTTTATTTGGCTTAAATTCCACACCCACAATTGTTAAACATATGGCTATAGTTAAATTCACTTTATAATCATTTATTGCTAATGATGTTGAGCTTTGTCAGGTTAAAACAACCTCTGAAAATCTTCAAAATAACAGGTTTATACTGATCTTCTGCTCTGTAATTTACAGCTCCTGGATCACATGACCTGCTGTTGTAATGTGAAACACTTATTATTGACGTCTGACCTTCTGATGTGCACCCGTTCTGGGTCAAACCCCCCTTTCTTACACAGAAACATTCATCAGCAGCTGAAATGTTCCACTTGCTCCAGTACTGTAACTGGCACCCCATAATCTGTGGGTGAAAGCGAGAGAGCAGGAGGAGGGAAAATAGAGAGGATAAATAATGTATCATGTAGAGAGAGGGGCTTTGCTGCAACAGAGAGTTTTAACATTTAATGATTTTTTTGCCAGTGCAGCAGAAAAAGCCTAAACTGGATCCTTGCATGTCGTTGCGTGTATTAAAGTCGCTGGGATCTTCCATTAATACTCTCAATATGTTTTTCCCTGTGCATGCTGGGTATCAGATGTTGTAGGAAAGTAAATTGGTCTCTATAGCAGAAACGAAGCAGAATAAGACAAAGGTTAAGAAATAGTAGAAATCTCCTGCTGCACACTCCTTCTAATTAACAAAGTAGACTGCTGCTCTGTACAGAACTACTTGATTGCCTTGGCAACAGCAACTCTTTGTCCTGATCCTACCTCGTGTTGTGCATGTATTCAGTCTATTTTTGACTTAACAACGTATCGTGCTGTAGTAAGTGGCAGGAAAAGAAGCTTCAGGAAGGGAAATTCTTGGGAAAGTGGTCCATTCTCTCTGTGTGTGGCATGAACACTTGGGTGAAGTCAAACTGAATAGGTTGGTATTAATATGTTTGAGGTAGAGGAAACCTACACCATGAATTCATTTATATTTTGTGATGGATTAGGAAAAAAGCTGTTAAGTGGGGATGTGCATTACTCCCTATACTAGTATGCCATGAATCCTCTCCCCTGACAGCTGGGTCTACGTATTAATATTTCATTAGCACAAATGAGATTGATCTTCTTGGTGACTCTGTAAAGTATGTTAACTGATATATGAGAAAGGGAGAGAGAGGGAGAGCAAGTCATGGTGCACAGAAGAAGAGGAGGGGGAGGGAACAAGAAAAAAGGCAGAGAGAAGATCTCAATGTAATCCTTGAGCAAAGCAGAGGAGTGGAGACGAGAGGACACAGCTCTGTAGTTACTCAGAGGATGTGCACAGTAAGGCAGAGGCTCAGCCTTTCCTTTAATATGAACCTCAAGCTGCTGAGCTTGTTCTCAGTGTGTAATAGTTGAGATTCCGCTGGAGAGCTTGTGTTGAAGACAGCTGGCGAGCAAACTTGGGGAGCGAAGGACGACCTGTAGTTAGGACCAGCAGTCAGGGGTTGCTGCAACATCAGTCACTCTGTCTAATGCAGATAGATCAGTTGCTCTTCTAATAGCACGGGTGAGAGCGCTGAGTGGAGTGGGATACGCTGAGAGGAAAGCAGAGATTAGTGAGCAGCCTAGTGTAGTGTGTTGCTCGGAGAGGGAAAGCAACAGAGGAGGAAGAGAGAAAGCTGGGCCAGTTGTGTTGTGCTCCGCAGCAGGAACCAAGGGTCCATCAGTTTATCCTGGGGAGTTTTTGATCGGAGGGGACAAGGGAAGAGCACCGCAGGTTATTAATGCTCTCTCTGTCTCTCTGCCGATGCTTTGCAGGAGTGGTGCCAGCCAAGAGGAGTCCAAAGCTGGTGGTGAGTACTATGATCTTCAGCTTTTTTCTTTTTTTTTTTTTTTTGGAGTTTGCATGTTCGCTCTAAATGAAAGGAGCACTATTTAAAGAACAAAAGACACAGAGATGTGTAACTCTTGCTCTATCTATCCAGAGCTTCAGAAATCTTCCCATTTCAATCCTGCTGCCTTCACTTTTCTTCTTTCACAGTCTCACTTTCACTTTTGCTACATGTTTTTTTCATTGTTTACATTTCCTTTTCTTTCCTTTGTCATTTTTCTTTGTTTTATGTCCTCACTCTTTTACTCTGCACCCCCACCCCCCTCC